TCGGTGGGCGAGCAGCCCCTTCCTTCGCTGGCCGAGCCGGTAGTCGATGCCGCTGCGGAGCCGTAGTAGAAATACTTTAGCAATTGTTAGAAGATAATGCCATGGGGGAGCCCCCTGTGTAAAGCATTTTTGTGTATTTATGAATATAGTAACTTTGTTTTTGTGATGGAACTACTCCATTCGGGGAAGCTTCTTCCGTCTGTTCCTTATTTTTTCCTTAGCATAACTTTGTTTTTTATTCTCTTCTTTTTCACACCTGCCCGTTCGCACCGTAGGCTGCAACTTTAAGAGCCCGAGCGTGGCCCGTGAGGTTAAGTCGCTCATAATCGTAGGTAGAGGCAGGGCGTGATCGGACGAAATATTTTAAGCGAAGTTATGTAAGGAAATTGAAGGAATGGACTGCCCTTTCGTTCAGGAAAAATGTATTTATTATGTGAAAGAAAAAAGAGGGGTGACATTGCATCCCCGTGGGGCCCCCGAGCGAGCCGGGCCAAAAGTGTTCGGGTCAGGACGCTTTATAGGAGCAAACGTTTAAGTAAAAATGATAAGACTGAATTTTAAAGGAAGAAATGACGTAGCTGTTCGCTATTCCAAGTGTTGGTGAGAACGCTGCCGTTGTCATCCTTCAGTCGGTAGGCATCCAATCGGATCACCTCGGTCCCCACATAGTGAACTTCAGTCGTCCGGATCCTTGCCCGCTACGCCCCCTTTCTTGGCCGCTGCTTCTTTGCCTTTTCCTTCCTTCGGCTTGCCGGCCTATCGTAGAAGGCGCTTGAGGAGCTCGTAGTCCTTGTAGAGGTATTTGACGGGGTATGCATGGTTGGTGCATGGGCTCTCCATGAGCTCATTGAAGTGGTCCAGAAGGCCCTGCTGGGGCTACTGGTCCATCTAATCAGCCATGGCGACCAACATAGAGTTGGCCGGTCGGTGGCGATCTTTTCTGTTCTTTTTGCCCCTCTGCATGGAGGGGCCCTCGTCCTGATCCTCGCACTTGGCCTTGCCTTTGCCTCGGCCTCTGTTGAAGCAAGTGTCTCAGCTCGGCCCGAGCCGCTCGCGTACAGGCGGTCGGTGCAGAGTGGGCGCCAAGTCAAGCGAGGCGCAGATGCGTCCTCTTGTGCCATGCTCGGTGGCTGTAGCGGTGAGCAGGTGGAGCGATTCATCCAGTGCGTCCCCACTCCCCTGGTGGGGAGAGAGGCCGTGAGTCGGTGTCACAATGCAGAGCTCTCCGCCTGTTGAACGGCGGTGGTTTCCACTAGTGCCCAGAGGTTTCGGTGAATCGCCTATTCCTGAGGGTCGTTCGACTCGGGGAGGCCGCGTAGAAGTATCACCGCAGAGGCGATGTTCTGGTCAGCCCGAGCGAACTATGGGGGATCGTTCCCCCCATCCATGGTGTTGCACTAGACCCGACGGGCGCGACCCCGGGCGCCGCTCGCCGGTTTATGCGCATGGGGCGCAATGTGGTGCACCGAGTGCGCTAGTGCAAGCGGCGCCTGGTTCAGCCGCTATTGTCGTAGCTCCTCGCCGTGCTCCTGTGTGAGCACGGGGGTCTCCGTACGAGGGTCCAGAGGAGTGTGAGTCTATAAGGACTCCGCTACCACCGATGGCTGTCCCGGAGCATCCGCCATAGCGTACTCTCGGGATGGACGGTGGCTAGGTGCTACGTCGCTGATGCTGGAGCTATCACTCTCAACATCATCATCCATGAGGTCGAGGAAACAGGTAGGAGCATAGCTCACCGTCCCCACGAATTCGGATGTGAGAGGGGGTGGCGCCGGCATCCTTCGGAGCCCCCGGGCGTACGCGTTCGTGGGGGGCGTGAGGCCGTAGGGGAACCGGTTGTATGGCGGTCGCGGTGGGGACAACGGGGTCCCTCCGGATAATCGGCGGAGGATAGTAAATAGTAAGTAAATAACAGTACGTACATTACTCACAGCGGGGTTTGAGCAGAGAGTTTGCTCGGGATGAAGCGCAGATGCCTCGTCGTTGAAGTCATCGTGCATCCCGGGGCCAATGGATGGCGTCCCTCCGACGGGTGCCAGAACGAGTGCCTCCTCGCGGAGGTGTAGTATGCCGAGCCGGTCGGCGATGAAGTCTAGGATTCTGAAGAGGAAGGCTTGGGACGGCTCGAAGGTGGGTGGAACCCACATACCAATAGGTGGGAGTGCGGGAAACTCCAGTGAGCCGAAGCGAGTCATATCGCTTGAGCCCGCCATGGCGAAGGTGACGGAAAAGTGGGCCATCCGATGACCAAAAAGTGTTGAACGTACAGCGTCTTCCCCACAGACGACGCCAACCGTCGGTGTAGAAAGTGACCAACACGTAAATATTTGTAGTTTTGCCGTACGTTGTGATCGGAGGTGGCCTAACACTCAATGACACAGGGTTTATACTGGTTCAGGCAACGTGCCCTACGTCTAGTTTGAGTCGGTCGGTTACTTTATTCCTGAGCCCAGGTGCTCGAAGTTTGCAGTGGGGTTACAAACGAGAAGGAGAAAGATGGGGGGTATAAGAGGTCCGGTCGGAAGGGCTGAGAGTGATTGGAGCCCCGCTATGAGCTAAGTGTTCGAGCGTATGCTTGTGGTTTGAACCTGGCGGTTCTGTTGTTGTGTACTAGAGAACTTGATCGATTTGAATCCACCTGTTGGGAGAGAGCACATCCCCTTTTATAGATGAAGGGGATGGCCTTACAAGTGAGAGGGAGAGAGTATGTATGCTACTAAGCCTTGTTGCCCACGCCGGTGGGTACATGATGATGGTAGGCGCCCACAATACTGTTGTATGTCAGATGCACGTGGGAGATTGTGTTGTCTTCTTTGGGTATGGCAGACGTCGGTGCCTGCCACACTGTTGGTACCCAGAGGCGTGCAAGGGGTTTTACCATGTTCGCCTGGTACGGTAAATGTCGGCGCCCACAACACTATCGATACCCAGAGGCATGTGGGGGGAGCCTTACCGTGTGGGAGTTAATGGCGCCCACAATACTGTAGGGGAAAATATCGGCACCTACAACACTGCTTGGGTTCTGTCGTGCCAGGGAGGTCGCAGAGTACTGTTTCTGCAGGTGTACATGGTACGGTCCCTGATATTGCAGTTTCACTTGTGTGCCCTGTCTTACTTTCTCCGTCTGTTTCCTGGTCCTTACCGAGCGGGCGTCCCCGATCGGTTGGTCCCAGTCGGCTCTGATCGCGCCAGTCAGAGAAGAGCAGTGAGAAGGGGTTTGTCGCATCCCCGGTTGGAGACGCGGGTCGGAGTCGAGAGCGGTGTTTGGCCAGGCCTTCCAGTCGGAGAGGCCGTCCGGAGGCGGGCTGGAGACCGAAGCAAGCGCTCCGGTCAGAGAGGCGGGTCGGAGTCAAAAGCGGGTGCCATTCCTCCTCAGCCAGGCCTTTCGGTCAGAGATTGGATCGCCCATCTAGCCTGTCGTTTAGGTACTTGGGCCGTCCCATGAGTTGCGCGTTTGTCTGCTTGGACCGAGCCTTTGTTGGGAAGCCGGTCCACGAGGGATCCTGGGTTTATGAACCCGACAAAGTTATTAAGACCTTGTTGTGTCCCTATATATGACATCATAAATCTATATTTTAGCTTTCGAGTTTGAATCCAGTTGCTGAATTCTTTATCCATATGTGAACTTGAAACTCTTGTTCTTATTTTATCTTTATTCAAAATTTTCATTTTTTTATTTTATTCACAAAGGTTCTAGGTGGGCTATCCTCTTAGTTCCTATAATGATAACACCATGATAGTCAAGATGATGAATTTATTATATTAAGGAATTATATCTATAGTGGTATTGTATTATAAATTTAGTTAAATTATTTTAGTCAAAATGTTTAAACTCATTTAAAATAATAGCTTACAAAATTTATTATGATGGAGTAAACTTAAAGTGAATCATCAAGGTCATTGCTATGTAGTTTCTTCAGGCATTTTTTGAAGCTTGATAAGATATTAAGATAAATATTTATCCTAAATTATACATGTTTACTTGGTCTGGTTTTTGGAGAAATTATGCTTACATTTAACTTAACAATAGCCAAAGTGTGTAATTTAGAAATATATATAGCCTACTTTATGGAAATTGAATTATTTTTCACAATAGCTTATGTTAGTATTTATATGTAAATTTGATAGATATTTTTAGTTATTATTTGTAACGATTAAGCTGGATAATTTAGATACAAATTAAAAGTTGTCACTTCATATTATATTTAACATTTGTAATCACATATATTATGGGTAATTTGAATACAATTTAGGGGTATTATGTATCTTTCATAATATATGTGCATAATTTATAAAATATTAGGAATTTTTAAATTATTTTTTCTAATGGCATAGGTGCATGATTTAGATATAAAATTAGTTGGTTATTTAAATTATCTGTCATAATGGCATAGGTGGTTAACTTAGATGCAAACTTAAGAGTTATTTTTGAATTATATTTTATAATACAAAAGGCGGGTAATTTAGATAAAAATAGGATGCTATTTTGAATTATCTTTTGCAAATTATAATGGCATTTGTGGTTAATTTAGATGCAGATTTGGGGATATTTTTTAATTATCTTTTATAATGCCAAAGGTTGGCAATTTAGATACAAATCTAGGGGCTATTTTGAATTATTTTTATAACAATAGATGTGGATAATTTAGATATAAAATCAGGGGTTACTTTATATTATTTTATAATGATAGAGGTGTGTAACTTTTATAAAACAGAATAGATGCAATGGCTATTATTGCGATGATGGTTAGAGTCTACCAGATTAAAGGCTAAAAGTTTCTGATTATTGTGAAAATCTATATGATTTATTATCTTTTTTCTAATACATCTGGTGAGAATTAACATAGACTCCTTCGTAACCTCTAATAATTAGTAAAAGTAAGATTGATAGACAAGAGTCCAAACTTCAATGTCTGTATATAATATAAGGAACGCGGACTATATATTCAGCTGTTACTAGTCATGTATAAATACGCGGAATGAAATGTTTGCTTGCCAGGATGGAGGATGTGAAGGTGAGGAGTTCTTCAGGCATAGCCAAGGTCACTGGCATAGCGCTCTGCCTGGCTGGAGTCTTCACCATCGCCTTCTTCACCGGGCCGTCAATAAGCCCTGTGAACCATCATCTGGCCTTCGCCTCTGACCCAGCACCAGCAGGCTCGAAACCAGTAGTTCCGAAGGGGATATGGATCAAATGGACATTCCTTATGGTGGTCGCCAACATGTGCTGGTCTTTGTGGATAGTTTTTCAGGTTCGCATGCATTACGTATTTTTCTTTACCAGAAACCAAGGACGTTGTGCATTCTCTAAATTGTTCTGAGGTCCTGTTCTTGCATGTCTGTCTGCATCCACAGCTGTAATTGCTGAATCTGTGTCTGTTCTGTTTGTCTGTTGACTGTGCAGCCTGCTTTGCTAAAGGATTGCACAGATAAGATGGTTGTGACTGTCACACAGTGCCTGTTCAGCACGGTGCAATCGTTCGTTGTCGCGGTGGTCGCGGAGCGGGACTTCTCCAAATGGAAGCTCCGCTTCGACATCAGCTTGCTCGCCATTTTATACTCAGTAAGTTCTGCCCTTTTTTTTCTCCCTCGTCCACGTGTGAAGGGACATAAAATTGTCATTCGCCCTCTTGCACTGGTGCATTCATTATTGGGAAAAAATTGCATGCATAAAGTATGCACCGGCATTCCATATATACATGCCGTGGACGACTGTCACATGTTCTCAATGCAACGCATTAAGCTGTCTTTCGTTGGCCTATATGGGCCAAGTCAATTACGGTCAGTGCAGGTAGACGGAGAAAGACCACGAATGCTTGATTATTTTATTTTTACATGTGGCAGTAGATTAGGGGCGGCATGCACTGAAGCTCCACGCTTACTATATCCACCTATTTTTTTCCCGTTATTGGCATGGTCTTTGGCACACGCGTTTGATCGTTACTTTTCTTTATTATCTTTATTTAGGACTGCTATTTCTTTATTATCTTTATTTAGGACTGCTATTTTTTTAAAAGAGAACAGATTAATTTGGCGGTATTTTTCATGTCCTACCTGTCGATACATTAGTTTTTATTATATGATCAGCCTCAATGGTTAGTGAATACCGTGGCCAAAGCTTCTAGAGTTTGATTGCACATATCTGACTACTAGACAACTGGTTGCATGCTTAAGGGTATTATGGTGACGGGAGTGTCCTACTACCTGCAAACTTGGTGCATAGAGATGAGAGGCCCTATGTTCTTCGCCGCCTGGACCCCACTCTGCTTCCTGTTCACAATATTTTGCTCATCATTCTTTCTCGGTGAGATTGTTCACCTCGGCAGGTAAATGCTCGCTATCAGCTGACTATAGCGGTGATATTCAAATATGCGCTGAAATAAACTTTCGTTTGCCGGCAGCATCTTGGGTGGAATTTTGCTGGTCGGAAGCCTTTACACCATGCTGTGGGGTAAAAGCAAAGAGGTTAAGACTGACAATGTCACTCAGGATACTGAGAAAGCTGAGCATAAGAAATCTGCTGAGAGTTACCCGAAAGAGCAACATCATACTACGGCAGAGGTCAAGGAATAAACATTGACTGGCTCGTCAGCTTTGCACGTCCAAGAACTATGAATCTAAGTTCGATGGATTCGACTAATGTACTTAACTCCGTTATGTATCCAAGGTAAAAAAAATAAGAATAATTTTCTTAGTAGATAGTAGATCAAGCAGTTTACTAAATCCATAATTTCCATGAAGGGTTTTATGGTAACTGTAATAATCCTCAAGCAAAACAGCATCCCTAATGCTACTACCGCATAAAGCGGCACGTTTGGTTGCTCCTAAGTGTGGCTAAAAATGCAAGGTCAAATCTTGACTGTTTTTGACTAAAATTAGCCTTAATTTGGTTTGGTGCCAAATTTTGGCTTTGTAGCCCTTTCATTTGGTCACATTTGGTGACATTTGGCGCGGCCCAAGTGTGTTGTCATGAGACTATGGTGGCTTTAGTCCTACCTTAGTTGTCAATGATAGGTTAGACTAATTTATAAGGCTTAGAATCCATATCGCCATCACCAGGTTACCTTTTTACGTAAAACAGAGAAAAAAATGTAAGTGGATTAGTGGAAGTGTGTGTTTCCCTTAGCAGCCCCGTTCGCTTCGCTGAAAAAACAAGCCGAAACACTGTTCCGCCTGATTTATTGTGAGAGAAAAACACTGTTCCGGCTGAAAAAACAAGCTGAAAAAGACATATTATAAGATAAGCGAATAGGGCCAGCGTGTGTTTTATATTTATGCTCCAAGCTATCTTTGGTGGCACCAGACCAGTTTTGTTTGGCCAATCTAGATGTCTATAAACACCTGTTTTAGGCCCTAGACGTTGTCATAAGAAAATAGCAGACTACGTTAGAGGTAAGGAAATGACCTCAATAGACGCGTTATCTTTATGCACCCAAGAACTGCAAATCTAAGATTTATGGATTCGACGAATGTACTCTAACTCCATTATGTATCCAAGGTAAACATTTTTCTTAGTTCATCAAGTTTAATGTCCATGCTGTAATCTTATATTGTAATCGCAATCCTCCTTAAACACACTACTGCATAATTGATTATCGGAGACGTGCTTTTTTATTTACAGAGGCGGGCTGGCCTAGGCACTTACTGTGCAGTTTGTCAGTGGGTCCAAGGCTAACATCCTCCTCTCTAAAAGCATCTACTCATGCAACGTTATTAAGTGACCCGCTTCTATAAATAGCACATTTTATGAATGTGATCTTCTTTGGATGTGATGCCCACCTCTGTAAATGATTAGCAGAGGTGGGTATTTGTTTGGGGCCCACTTGGCCATTTACAAAGCAGTGTAAAAATGCTCGTATCTATTAATTAGGAAGTTCTCCTAAAAAATAATTAATTGGGAAGTCTGTCTCCTAAAATCTTTTTGGTAGCAGCGATATCTTAGCTCCATTGTTGTTGTTAAGATTATTATTTAGTGATCAATTTAGATTAATCTCATCATTAGCAACTGCTACTGACAGTTCCAGGATGGGCATAGAAAGACACCTTTTCACCAATAAACAACCGCCCCTTGGACTTGTATATATGTACAGGTCATCAATAGAGACATCGGTCACTTTTCATCGATCGCTTTCGCTTTCACCATTTCACTTGCAATACGTTATCAGGCACGCTCGCTCACCACTGACGCGAATAGGAGAAGGGAAAGGAGAGAGTTCATCGGAGAAGGAATCACCGGCGTCGCTGCATCCTAAGGTAGAACATGACGACTCCTGTACCTTCCATGAATGCCATGGTCGATTCCATCACCGATGCCGTGGCGACCGCCATCACCCGCGGCAACCACGCTGGAGGCCTTCGCCGCTTCATGCTGTAGGGCGCCGTCCGTCGTGCCCTCCGGGACATCTCAGACTACCGCATCCCTCCTCGCCACTTCCACGGAGTCCACACTAGAGGGAGCAGTGGCCACCGTTTGTCGTTGCGCCCGTCGTCCCCGCTGCAGTTCGCCCTCGGCGTCTACCCGACGCATGGCCCAGCCATGGTTGTCAGGCGCTGGGGGCGCTGCCGAGGACGCCACCGATGCCGTCGACGCTGCCGAGGCCGCCGGTGACGCTGCTGCCGCCACCACCAACAACGCCGCTGGCCCCGCTCGCGCTGCCATGGAATGGAAGCGGTGGCTCCATGGCCATGCGCCGTGGCGCCCCTCCGCTCCCCAACCGCAGTGCTGACGTGGAGATGTGGCCGACCGGTTTCACCTATGACCTCGACGTCGCGCTCTCGCCACCACCTCCACCAACCGAACCGCGCTCCTACGTCGACGTGGCGGCCAACTGCTGCCATGGCCTTCACCGGAACGCCCTCCCACTCGGAAATGCCCTCGGAGCCGGGTTCGTCTCATCCTCAGACAAGGAGGGGTGGTTCCCTGCCTCTGAGCAGCTTGGGAAGGGCCGGTGGGGGTGGATCCGCCGTTCTCGGCTTGCAGCGACGGCCTTCGTGGCCGGAGCTCACCGGAAATGGCCGGGTTCTTCCCCGTCGGCCAGCCTCCATGGCCGGTGCACGGGCCTCGGCTCGCGCCCACCATGAGAGGATGAAGAGGAGGCACAAGACGGTGGCTTCACTCGTGCAGGCGACAGGAACAGCAATAGCGACGGTGATGGTGGCCGGGATGGCAGCAGGTGACGGCAGCATTTGCATGCGGCGACGGCGGCAGTTGGGCTGGGCGGTTAGGGTTTCTAGAACCCTAACTGCTGGCTTTATAGGTCACGCCACTGGTGCCTGCCTGGGCTAGATTGGTGGCCCAGGCCTATGGCAGAACCGCCTAAAATAACACGCTTTCATAGGCGCACGTCTTCCTCAGACACTAAGCACCCTGAAAGTTAGCTACGTCGGACAGTTCCGTCGAGCCCACCCCAAGGGAGAACTCAAAACAATCCAGGTTTTACATCTAGAATCCAATAATGAGTATAAGCTTACAATACTTAGTCCATTTCATACAACAAGGGTTCTTGGAAATTATTTATTACAATACTAGAGTTCAGAGTGCGATAATTAAACAGCGGAATGAAAATAAACATCTAGCGGAAACAATACAAAGATTTGTCTGTGCCCACCAGAAGAATCCTCCACACAAAAGCTACTCCTCAAGCTGCACCTACAACAGGGGTAAAATAAACCCTGAGTCCACAATGTACTCGCAAGACTTACCCAACTAGTGGGAATAGTTTCTCGACTCCAAGGAGTATGATAGTCAATATGGGTTTGTTGTTCTCTTTTCGTTTGCGAAAAGCATTACTAATAGTTAATCCTTACAGTCCAGTTTTATTAGCAGTCAAGATTAGTTCATTAGCTAACCATTCTAGGTAAGCACCTGTTCTACTTTCAAGCAAGGGTTAAGCAATCAGAACTATTTCACTATCTTTCATCTTTCAGTTCTGAATACGGTGCTAGACCATAGCCAAGTCATACCGTCTCACAGAAATGGTGATTTGTGAACCAATGTATTCTAGCTGGGTACCCTAAAACACACGCCCCGTTTGTACCCCAGGCACAAACTAGACGAACCCATTCCACTCCTATCACGGGGTCCAGATTCCCATCCAAACTTGGACTCCAAGCCCCCACACTTGAGACCCGGTCTCAATATGGTACTTAGACCTCCACCTTTCTCTGCCTCCAATCAGTTGGTTCGGAAAGAGCCGAAACCCACAACAAGAGCGTAACTAGCCTTCCCGCTTCCATAAGCAAGTATGTGCTCAGGATAATAAATCTATGACCTGACTACCATCCACAGCAACGGACGATCCTTAATCGACATGAACAGAGAAAACAGCGTAACCAAGCTAAGCCTCGTTGGCCGTGGGACACAACCTGTTACACCCACCAATACCCATAACATATCCCTGCCCGGTCTCCAATTTTCCTTTCATCATTTTATCATGAGAGTAATTGTAATGATCACCTATTATGAGTAACGGCAGGTTACTCACGCTACCGAAAACCTAAGCATAGCAGCTACTCGAACCTGTACTAGTAGAACTCATAGGACAGTTATATCTATGCATCTTATTTTTATAAAATTTCCTGTAACGTAAATGCACATCACAAATATATATTTAGTGATTATCAAAAATAAGGGTTATGCACTGGGGCTTGCCTTGGGCAGGCGCGGTGTCAGCTAAGTCAGTTAGTGGCGGCTCTGGGACCTCCTCCTGTACGAGAATCTCCTCCTCATACTCCTCGACGATCTCCTCGAACTCGTGATCGACGGTGGTCACGATCTCCACCAACTCGTTGTCTACATGCATGCGATGATGATGTAACACTTAGCATTTATGCAACAGCAACTCTTAAAATAAGAATACGCATACTAAGCTACTAAGCTAGCTCTAATGACTAAGGTACTAAGCTAACTATCATCTTTACCAAGTAAAGTGTTGGATTCAACTAACAAACACCTAGCTTTACAAATGAAGAATACATCTTTATTCCTACTAATAATTTAATGTATATTGGAAACAAAGAGCATTTAACTACCCTAATGTGTAGTCTATTCTAAGGCTATAAAAATTATAGTGAGCAAATAAAAATACAATGAAGCTACCATAAAAATTTCAGGACTAAAGTTATCACCAATTTACCACAAAAATTCCTACAATATTTAACCTAATAATATTAAGTACTCTCAAATGATTTAATAGCTCCTGGTATCAACATGTATATATATGAACTAAATATACTAATAGATAGAGCACAATTTTAGGAACCTAACAAAATTTGTTTCACAATTTTTGGACGCCTACATGTTTTTATATGATTTACCAAAGATCAGCACAAAAATTAAATTAAAAAACTATTTGTAATTCCTTAGGAAAAGAAAAATGAAACCTCCCACGCGGCCCATATGCACGGCCCATGGTGTGGCCCACACGAGCGTAGGCATTTTAGCATAAAAGCCCCCGCGCTTTCTGCTATTAACGCGACCACTATGCGTCCTATTCCTTTAGTCAGTGATTATGCACGAAGGCCCCGAAGAGACTCATCTTCGCATAGGGAAGGTCCCCGAAGCCCTCGTGCTC